CACAAATTCCCCCAGCTGTGAGCCTTCCAACCTTCTAAATATTCCTTTATATGTGGTTCAGAGTTCTGGGACCATCCCCTGAGCCTGCTTGGTCGGGTATTCTGTGTTGTTGTTGGCGGAGCTCCTTACTGTACTTCGACCTGATCTGCCATCTTGTTTGTTCTCTTTACCCTGTAGACATTTTTGAACTGTTTTGTTTAGTGAATGTAAAACTTGAATGTTGAAACACAAAAATTATTGTCCTTTTTACGAAATATATTAAGCACTTAACAGCCAGAATCCTGCAATGTGCAATCAAATTCATTTTAGTCAATTCAATTCCAACTTAATGTGACCCTATATAGGGTTTCTAAGTCTATGATGTTCTTGATGGCATCCCACAACTCTTCTGGTCTTCAGTCTTTAGTGTCTGATGCATCAGATCTCTTCAGATGATCTTTAAATTCAGGCAGGATATATTCCAGGTCATAAGGAAGGAGCTCTGGTAACATAGTGGTTACGAATCGGGCTGCGAACCGCAAGGTCAGCAGTTCGAAACTACCATCTTCTCCATGGGAGAAAGATGAGGCTTTCTGCTCCCATAACGATTTACAGCCTCGGAAACACTGTACAGGGTCTCTATGAGTTGGAACCGACTCGACGGCACATAACCACCACCACCATCTTGACTCCTGTGAACTTGTTTTAGTTTTCTTCGGCTTCAGACTCAATTTGCGTATGAGCAATGGATGATCCATTCCACAGTTCCCTTTCTTTGTTTTCACTGATAATATGGAGCTTTCCCACCATCTCTTTTCATAGATAAAGTCTGTTTTATTTCTGTATATTCAATCTGGTGAGGTCCATATGTACAGTTGTCTTTTATGTTGCTTATAAAAGGTGTTTGCAATGCAGAAGTCATTGGTCTTGCAAAATTCGATCATGTGATTTCCAGCATCGTTTGTATCACCATGGCCATACTTTCCAACTGCTCGTCCTTCCTTTTTGTTTACAATCTTTGCATTCCAATCATCTTGATTGCATGTTTGATCAAGGATGTTAGTAGCATATGATCAAGAGCTAATGATTCTGAAAGAAGTCCAAGGTGCATTGAAGTCATTGGCAAAGAACACAGCACCGGGAATTGATCGAATTCTAATTAAAATCTTTCAACAAAATGATGCACTTGCTCCTCTCTGCCAAGACATTTAAAGGACAACTTCCTGGCCAACTGACTGGAGAAGATCCGTATTTGTGCCCATTCCAAAGAGAGGAGACCCAGCGGAATGGGGAAATCTTCGGGCCATATCAATGATGTCCCATGTGAGTTAAGTTTTATTATAGGTAATACAGAAATGGCTGCAACCATACATTGACAGAGAACAGAGAAACTGGTTCAAGCCGGTTTCAGAAGAGGACATGGAATGAGGGCTATCACTGTTGACATGAGATGGATCGTGGCTGAAAGCAGAGAATGCCAGAAAGATGTTTACCTGTGCTTTATTGACTACACAAAGGCTCTTGATTGTGTAGATCATAACAAACTGTAGACAACATTGCGAAGTATGAGTATTCTGGAACACTTAATTGTACTCATGAGGAAATATACATAGACCAAAAGGCAGTCCTTTGAACAGAACAAGTGAACACTGAATACTGAATGGTTTAAAATTAGGAAAGGTGTGCGCCTGGATTGTATTCTTTCACCATACTTATTTAACCTGTATATTGAGCAAATAATATGAGAAACTGCATTGTGCGAAGAAAAACATGGCATCAGGGTTGGAGGAAGACTCATTAACAACTTGCGATGAAACAACCTTACTTGCTGAAGCGAAGAGGACTTAAAATACTTCTGATGAAGAACAAAGATCACAGCCTTTGGTGTGGGTTGCACTTCAATGAAAAGAAAACAAAAATCCTCTCAACTAGAGCAATAAACAGCATCCATATAATTGGAGAAAAGATTGAAATTGTCAAAGATTTAATTTTGCTCAGATCAACTGTCAACACTCAGGGAAGCAGCAGTCAAATGCTGTAATGCATTGGGCAAAGATGCCAGTTTGAAAACTAAGGTGTGCCTGACCCAAGCTATGGTATTTTCAGTTACCTCATATGCATGCAAAAGTTGGACAGTGAATAAAGAAGACTGAAGAAGAATTGATGCTTTTGAGTTATGGTGTTGGAGGAGAACATTGAAAGTACCGTGGACTGCCAAAAGAACAAACCAATGTGTGTTGGAAGAAGTACAGCCAGAGTGCTCCTTTAAAGTCAGGATGGCTAGACTTCGTCTCTCATACTTCAGAAATGTTGTCAGGACGGACCAGTCTTGGAGGGTATCATGTTCGGTAAAGTAGAGGGTCAGAGAAAAAGAGGAAGGACCCCTAAGGAGCTAGATTGGCACAGTGTTGGCAGTGATGGTCTCAAATGTAGCAATGATTATGATGTTGGCCCAGAACCAGGCAGTGTTTTATCTTGTTATGTATAGGGTTGCTGTGAGTTGGAACTGACTCAGTGACACTTAATAACAACAACATACAGGGGTTTTGGGATGGTGGAGAGCAAATGAGTGTGAATCTTATGGTTAACAGCCCAATGCCTAGCCTACAGCACCACCACAACAGACAGTTGTGAATGGTGCTAGAAGTTTCTTCTTGACTTAAAATAAAGAACTTACAGATAAAGTTTTTGCAAAGAAATTGATATGACGAATCAGATGCCAGTCTGCTTTCATAAAGATTCACTCACTCCCATCAAATTGATTCTGACTCATAAGTGACTTTGTTACAGGACTTTTGAGGCTGTAAATCTTTTACAGGAGCAATTGGTGGGTTTGAACTGCTGACCTTACAGCTACTCTGCAGCACCACACTAAGATTCCTTTTCCATAAAACTTACAGTCTTGAAAACAGTGTGGTGTAGTTTTACTCTGTGCATCGGTGTCTTTATGAGTGTGACAGTGGGTTTGGTTTCCTGGTTTTATGCAGAAAATAGATCAGAAACACTGGACCAAAAGAGTATTTAAAAGTATTTTCTACTGCTCTGGTAGCGTAGTGGTTACGAATCGGGCTGTGAGTCGCAAGGTCAGCAGTTCGAAACTACCAGCAGTTCCATGGGAGAAAGATGAAGCGGTCTGCTCCCGTAAAGATTTACAGCCTCAGAAACCCTGTGTAGGGTCGTTATGAGTCGGAACTGACTCCACAGCACATAACAACAGAGTCTTAGAAACTTATTCTTAAAGTTGGCTTTTGCCATCATTATATTACTATTTTAAAATTATACCTTATTTGCCAGGCATTTCCTTTTAATCTACTTTGTTTTATTAGAACTGGCCATATTTCTCATGGAAGAAAGTCTTTAAAACATTGAGTGCTATATGGCTAAGTTAATAAACTTAATTAACTTTATTAATAAACTTAAAAGAGAGACTTAAGGTTTTATGTTGGCTCTAGCTTCTTTTCAACTTGGTCTTAAAAAAAACAACCCAGCCAACAAGCCCACTGCTCTTTAGACAGTCTGACTCTTATCACCCCCATCGGACACAACAGAACTGCCCCTTTGGGTTTCTCAGGAGCAAGTCAATGGAAGTGGAAAACAGCTTGAAAGGGTATATTTCATAATGTATATAAAACTGTAGAATTGTCTGAAATGGACTCAATTATAATGATAATGCCTTATGTCTCATAGGTAGAACATTTGAGAAGAGTTTTGACCCTTGGGTCCCAGTGTGTTCAGAATGTAGTCGTTTACTGTTGGATGTGTGTCCTTTCAGAATGCTGTCTGTTAGGTCTCCCAGATGAAGTCTAACTCACATTGACTGTGCTTTTTCTATAGCCCTTCTCTGATGTTGTGTCTTTCTTCCATGTATCTTTAAAATCACTTTTTAAAAATGTTAAATTATAAAGCACTGTATTTACCAAGGCTTTTTTTGGAGGGGAGGGGTTAATTAAAACCATTGTGCAGTTGTTGTTTCTGTTGTTAATTACCAGGAGTTGATTCTGACCCATAGTGACCCTACACAGGGTGTCCGAGGCTGCACATCTTTACGGGAGCAGAAAGCCTCATCTTACTCCCACAGAACAGCTGGTAGTTTCAAACTGCCAACGTTGAGGTTAGCAGCTTGATTTGTAACCACTAGTACGCTATTGTGCTGTATTCCTTGGCAATTTAGGTGACTGGCATTTGAACAGTCGAATGTTTAGAGTAACGCACATGTTCTTTAAAATGCTGTTTCTGAAGTCTGATGATGCGTGTGAATATTCTTTCTCCTACAGGAGCAGTTATTTTGTATTTATGGTGACTTTTGTCCATGCAGAATTTTACCTTTCCACTTCCCGCTCTTCTCTTTCTCTTCAGTGTAAACCAGAATACAAAGTACCTGGACTTTACGTGATTGACTCCATCGTGCGACAGTCTCGACACCAGTTTGGTCAAGAAAAGGATGTGTTTGCACCCAGATTTAGTAATAACATCATTAGCACTTTCCAGAATTTATACCGTTGTCCTGGAGATGACAAGGTAAGGAGGGGACCCATGACCTTTGTAATTTTCATCAGGTCTGTAAATTGTTATTATATGACTGTCAGTTATGTTCTCATTTACACGTTTCTGATTGTGAACATTTAGGTAGTACATTATGCATATTTCTTTGGTTTTTAGACTCGTCTTAAACAGAGAATGGAAAGATGTGTAGTTGATTTGCTTTTAATTTAAATTTGAAATTTTGTGAATATTTAAAAAACTACTTTGATTTATCAATTTCAATTTTAATGAACAAAGTAATCTTACATTGCTAGATTTAATACTAATACTGCTTTTAATTGAAGATGGGGAGAGTAGGGATTTCTTGAACCTAGTAGGAAAGACAACCTTTCTCCTGTAATCAGAACCCTAAATGACATTTTTTATTTGTATATAAATAAATATAAAGGGTGATCGTTGTCAAGTACTGCCAAGTTTTGAAATACATGAGTGTTTTGGAAACTGGAAAATTTTTGTATAAGCAGAGGATCTAAACTACAAGTCTGATAAGGTGTGAAGCATTTTTTGGGGTAATTTTTATATGTTTCATTTAATATGCAAATAATTTGCATGTTAATATAATTTGAACCTAGGTTAGAAATACATCATCATAATATGGAGAAGTTAAAGAAGATCTAGGTCTTTATTATTGAAAAATTGCTTATTTTGCTGTTGCAAAATATATGCATTGAACAGAATGCTTTTTTATATAATTAATTTCATCCTCTCTGGAGAATTTTCTTTAATGAAATTATCTTGTCACATATTAATAAAGGCGCCCTGGTGTGGCACTGTGGGTTAATTCGCCAGAATGCAAAGCTGTTTGAACTGCAAGGTCGGCAGTTCAAGCTCACCAGCTGCCCCTCGCAAACCCTATACAGGGTCACTATGGGTCAGAACCTACTCGACGGCACTTGACAACAACAACAATAATTTTATATCTTTCTTTAATTTACTGGTTTTTTTCTTTTAAATGGTCCCTGCCTGTCATTTTTGACCCCTAGAGTGGCACTGTAGGATAAGCACTGGACTTCTAACCATAAGGTCAGCAGTTCCAACCCCTATCTGCTCTCAGAAACCCTATACAGGGTCACTGTGAGTAACAACCAACTCAGAGACACACAAAAACATTTAATTTGTTTTTTCCTGGTGGAATAAGCAATATTACAATGTTGTTGTTAAGTGAGATTGATTTGGTTCCTGTAGCAAACCTGTATAGGGTTTGTGAGGAGTGGCTGGTGAGCTTGAACCAATGATCTTGACTTTACAGCCTAGTACATTAACCCACAGCACCAAACCATGACTCCTTTTATAGAAGTATTCTGGTCAATCATCACATTTTTCTGTGCAAGAATTAAGAAAAGAATTAATATATGATCATCCTGTTTTTTGTTAATCATTATGTAAATTTCGTAAACTGTTACTTCTTTATAGTTAAGTACCATTGAAATGGTTCCAACTCATAGTGACCCTGTATAGGGTTTCTGAGATATGGCTGGTGGGTTTGAACTGCTGACCTTGCGGTCCAGGCTAGCTGAGATGCTTATATTTTAAGAACCAAGGCAAATGGACTAACCACTTTTCTCAAAGAAGACTGTGGAGTACCTTGAGCTATTCCTCTCTGATGAGCATATTCTTTGCCTATAAATCTGATGCTTCTGACCTCTGAAAATTTAGTGCTACCAAAGGAACCACTTAAATCGGCATTTTAGCAGTTACCAAATGCTCTCAAGAAGTTGCTAATTAATAATTTTAGAATTCAGAGTTACTAAAGAAATGGAAGTTGATTATTACCCAGTCTTTAGACGTTCGTAATATAAAGAGTATGACAAAAGAGGCGTGGTGTCTGGGCTGCTAACCTCACAGGCAGTACTTTGAAGTATGCTAGTCTCTCCAAGGGAGAAAAATGAGAAATGAGACTTTCTGTTCCCGTAAAGATTTACAGCCTCGGAAACCCCATACAGGGTTGCTGCGGGTTGGAACTGACTTGGTGACACAAAACCACCACTACCATAACAAAAAGAGACAACAATTCAAAGAAATAGAAGTTCACAACTAAATAGAATTCATATGAAATTTCTTCTGAATCAAGATTAGGGTATAAATTGGAGTCCCTGGATGGTCCAAATGGTTAGTGTACTTGTCTGGTAGCTGAAAGGTTGGAGGTTCAAGTCCACCCGGAGGCACCTTGGAAAAGGGCCTGCAAGTCTGTGTTTGAACGAGTCACTGGAAACTTGGTGGCGCACACATACATGGGTGGTCACAAGTCGGAATCGACTTGATGACAGCTGGTTTTGTTTTCTATTTAAATATGAGTATTTCTTAGTATTACTCGAAGGCAAGCTGGACTTAGTAAATAAGACACATTTCTGTCCTGGGAGGCTCAAAATTTGGAAGTGGTTAAAACACCATACATCCTAAAATTGTTAGATGAAGTTTGAAATGGAAGCCTTCTGGTGTTCTTCCTCGGTTTATGAAGACTCTGGCTTATTTGTTTATTGACAAAGTTGGCCTATGGCCAAGGTGAATCTGAAATATGACTTAGAATGTAGATGTTCAAGAAGTGGTGTGAGAGCGGCAGCATCAGTGCCGGAACATTTTAACAAAATGCTGCTGAGAGTGTTGGTATTGTGGCTAGGTGCCATTGACGTGGCTCTGTCTCGTAGCACCCCTGTACAATAGAACAAAACACTGCCCCGTCCTGTGCCTTCCTCACACTTGAGCCCATTGCTGCTGCTCCTTGTCAGTCCATCTTAGTTGACGGTCTTCCTTTTTTTTTTTTTTTCACGGATCCTCTGCTTTATCAAGCATGATGTGCTTCTTCAGGGACTGGTCCCTCCTGACAACATGCCCAGAGTTTGAGAGACGAATTCTCAGCATCCTGGCTTCCAAGGAGCATTCTGGCTGTACTTTCTCCAGCACTGATTTGTTTGTTCTTCTGGCAGTCCACGGGACTTTTCAATAGTCTTCACCAACACTGTAACTCAAATGCACTTATTCTTCTACTGTCTTCCTTATTATTGTCCAGCTCTCACATGCAATATGAACTATTTATTGAAAATGGCTTGGGTTAGGTGCACATTAGTTCTCAAACTGATGTCTTTCTTGAACACTTTAATGAGGATTTGTGCACCAGGTTTGACTAATGCAGTATGTCCTTTGATTTCTTGACTCCTGTTTCCCGGAGTGTTGATAATATTGAATGCAGTGTTTGAGAACTTTTATCTTTTCTACATTTATTGTATTTATTGGTCCTCTTGTGAGGATTTTGTTTTCTTTACATTGAGGTCCAATCTATAGTGAAGCCTGTGGTCTATGATCTTCATCAATAAATATTATATAAGTACTCATTTCCATCAAGCAATATTGTATCATCTTTATATTATAGATTGCTAATGAGGCTTTCTCTAATCATGATGCCATGTTGTTGTTTATATAATCCAGCTTATTGCTTGGATTATTTACTCGGCATACAGATTGAAGAACTGCAGTGTAAGGATACAACTCTAGCACATACTTTTCTTGATTTTAAACATTCTCTATCCCTTTGTTCTGTTATAACAACTGCCTCTTGGGTCTGTGTACAGGTTCCTCATGAGCACAATCAAGTGTTCAGAAAACCTAATCTTTGCACTGCTATCCATTGATTTTCATGATCCACACACTTGAAAGACTTTGTGTAGTACATCAAGTACAGGTAAACATCTTTCTGGAATTTTCTGCTTTTAGCGAAGGTCCATTTGATGTCAGAAACGATATCCCTCATTCCACATTCTCTTCCGATTCTGGCTTGAATGTCTGGCAGTTCTTTGTCAGTGTACTGTTGAATATCTCAAATGAAAGTTTGCCTGCATGTGATATTAATGATACCGTTATATGATTTCTGCATTCTGTTGGGTCACCTCTCTTTGGACACAAATAAGGATCTCTTACAGTCAATTGGCCAGGTAGTTTTTCAAATTTCTTGGCGTAGATGAGTGAGTGCCTCCAGTGCTGCATCGTTTGTTGAAAGATTTCATTTTGTGTTCCGTTAATTCCTGGAGCTTTGTTTTTTACCAATGCCAGTCCCAGCACACCTGTGACTTCTACCTCAATACCATCGATTCTTGATCATATGCTCCTTCTTAAAATGGTTGAACATCAAATATTTCTTTTTAGTACAGTGGCTCCTTAGATTCCTTCTGTCGTCTTCTGGTGCTTTCTGCATCATTCAGTATTTTGCCTTTATAGTCAGTCTCTCAATATTTCAAGTCGAGGCTTGAATGGTTTCTTCAGTTCTTTCAGCTTAAGAAATGCTGAGCGTGTTCTTCCCTTTTGGTTTTCTCACTCCAGGCTTTTGCACATTTCATTTTTAATATTTGACTGTCTCTTCTCGAGCTGCCCTATGAAATCTTCTGTTAGCTCTTTTGTCACCTCGTTTCTTTTATTTGCTTTGTCATCTCTTTGCTGGAGACCAAGTTCAGAATCTCTTTTGACATCCATTTTATCCTTTCTCTCCTGTCTGTTTAATGACATTAAACAGGTTACTTCCTGTTTGATGTTCTTGATGTCATCCCAGAATTATTCTGGTCTGGTCATTAGTGTCTAATGCATCACATCTATTCTTGTGATGATCTCTAAATTCAAGTGGAATATATTCAAGGTTATATTTTCGCTCTCGTGGACTTGTTTGAATTTTTTTCAGCTTCAGCCTGAACTTGTACATGAGCAATTTATTGTCTGTTCCTCAGTCTGCTCCTGGCCTTGTTTTGGCTGATGATGATATGGAGCTTTTCTACCATCTCTTCTCCCAGATGTAGTCAGTTTATTGCCTGTGTATCCATTTGATAATGTCCATATGTATAATCAGCCTTTTATGTTGTTGAAAAAAGTATTTGCAGTCAATAAGTCACTGGTATTGCAGAATTCTTTCATGTGCTCCTCAGCATCTTTTCTGTCACCAGGCCTATATTTTCCAGCTACCAGTTCTTCCTCTTTGTTTGCAACATTCCCATTCCAGTCACCAGTAAGTATGAATATATCTTGATTGCATGTTTACGATCAATTTCAGAGTGAAGAAGTTAGTAGAATTTCAGCACCACTGACTTAGTGATTGGCGCATAGTTTTGAATAATAGCGTTAGTAACTGGTCTTCCTTGTAGGCGTATGGATATTATCCTATCCCAGACAGTATTGTACTTTAAGATAGATTTTGAAATGTTATTTTTGACGATATAATTAACGCCATTCCTATTGAATTTGTCATTCCTGGCATAGTAAACCATATGATTGTCAGATTCTAAATGGCCAATACCAGTCCATTTCAGCTCGCTAATGTCTAAGATACTAGTATTTATGCCTTCCATTTTATTTTTTGACAACTTCCAGTTGTCCTAGATTCATACTGAGTACTTTGGATGTACTCATATAGAAAGTGATAGATATTAAAAACAGAAAGACCCGGTTAAGTGATGTTGAATTGGCTGGAATGGAGGTGGCTGGCAAAGGTTGAGACTGGTTGCTGAAGACAGTGAGTTGGATGTGCTGCTGCAGTTGAAGAGTCTGTTGGAGGGACAGAGCATACATGTAGGACAGAAACATGCCTATAACCAGTGGGTTTGGTTTTGTAAATTCTTTACAGGGTAGTAAAGGGCTCAGGGTATGGCTGGACACTTGTGGTTAATGTAGAACCTCTGGTTTAGAGTATGGTGTTTACCAGGGTTACAAACAGACTGACTAATGCCAATATACTCTGATAGTTTCCCACAGGGGAAGGAGGACAAGAGAAAATCATGAAATGGGAAATTGTGTGTTTGATCAAAAATGCCAAGAGGGAATAAACATGGAAAGTTGCAGAAAGGAGATAATTTAGTTACGTTCTTAGATTATGAAAATTTGTTGAATTATTTATAAAATGATAAATTTAAAATTTACATGACATAAGGATTTTGCCCTGTAGTTACTTCTTTGTTCAAAAGATCACATGTATGAGACACATTCTGTGTCAGCTGGAAGTGAGCCTTTAGTAAGTACTGAGGTCAGGCCTGGCTCTGCCTCAGACCCCTTACCCCAGGTGTCTGTAGACAGCCATAAACATCTGTCTGTCTAGAGATGATATATGTGATAGAGGAAGCCTAATTGTCATCCCTGTTTTGAGCTACATCTTGTCTTTATTGTCTTTGTCTATTGAAAGTTCCATCGTTTTTCAAATGAGTTACGGTTAACCAATGCTAAGTTACGTGAAAATGCGTTTCATGGTGGAACGGTTCTTAAGGCGTTTGACTCCATCCTGCCATTCTCACTGTCTGATTGATAGGTTTGAAAACAAAAAATAAAAATTCCTTTCTCTTCTTCTTCTAGAGTAAAATTGTGAGAGTATTAAACTTGTGGCAGAAGAATAACGTATTTAAGAGTGAGATCATTCAGCCTCTTCTGGATATGGCCGCAGGGATTCCTCCTCCAGTGGTCACCCCTGTTCTGGCCAGTACTACTGCTGCCATGAGCAACACCCCAGGTGTGTTGTTTTGATACAGATTTGGTCTATCAGTATTCCATGTGTGTTTTCCTTATTAGGTGACAGCAATTGTCTAGCATTATTAGGTAATGGAAAAGGGACTCTTGTGAAGTAAAAATTAAATTGGAAATTATGTATGTGTGTGATTCTTCCTAAAATTTAGAAAGCTATATTCCTGTTTAAATTCCCCAAAAGAAATTCATGAATGTAATGAGCTTTGGGAGTTGAGACATCAGTAGATTTCCCTGATTTTGACCATCTCTAATCTCTGCATTTTGCTTACAATTAAACTGATTGAGGAACTTAGTATTTACAAAAGGAACCCTGGATAAATTGTTTAATGAAGTCAGAAATGCTTTAATAGTAACCACAAAATCACATTTGTTGAGGTGTTTAAATATCATATAAATATTTTTATTGTAGTCCAAGAGTTACAGTTGGTAACATTTTTGGTATGTTTTAGTTTTTGTTGCCTATATATAAAAACAAAACTTTGGGAAAAAAAAAGTTGATGTATACTGTTGAACAATCATTTATAAATTGAACATTGTAGTTTGAATAGTTTCTCATACTATTGAATTTTGTTCACTAGTGAGATTTTTCATGACTTGGGAAATAGTTTTAACCTAATTTTGTAATTAATTTAAGTTGTTTTCCAAAACAAGGATAAAATGAAGATACTTAGATAAATATGTATATATTTTTTCAAAGTGATGTAGCTGTGGTGCAAGTTATCTATTGACTACATGTTTCCTCCTTTTCATGTTTCTTTTGTAATGGGTGGGTGGGTGTTTGTCTTCAAGGAACTCCAGTGACACCTGTGACTCCAGCCAATGTGGTCCAAGGCTTACCTGACCCATGGGTGTCGCAGATAACAAACACGGATACCCTGGCAGCTGTGGCTCAGATCTTACAGAGTCCTCAAGGCCAGCAGGTGAGCATCTTTTCTGTTAGTCCAGAGTGTGTTCCATATCCATGTCATAAAGCATTGTTTCATGAAGCGCCACCTTGGGAGTGTGTGTGTTTTCATTTTAGAAAGCTGGAATCATACTCTACATGCTACTTCGTACATCTGTTAAGCTTTGTAGGTTTTTAAATAGCAGCTCTTAACATTTCTTAGATTGATTTCTGTGAATCCATTTGATTTGTTAGTTTACACATTTTATTGTTTTAATGTGAATGTTTATGCATCAAATTAGTTTCCAGTTCAACCGTTTATACACAGTTGATTCTTTGACATTACTTGCTATCTCTGCATGGGTCTGCACTCTCTCCATTTCCACCCTGCCTTCCCTTTATCCACCCTGCCGGTTTCCCTGCCTTTCCTTCCCTTCTCATCTTTGTTTTGGAGCAAATGTTGCCCATTTGGTCTCAGTACAGTTCACTGTTCTAAGGAGCACATTTCTTGTGGGGTGGTGGTGTTCTTCTATCGGCCACTCTGTTTTACTGAAAGGGTTCCTCAGGGAGTGGCTTCATTTCCAGGTTATAAATGTCTTAGAGTGAGAGACTTGGGGTGTCTTCAGCTTCTTACTGGTCCAGGAAATCTGGACTGATGTTTAAATTCCAGTTTGGTTCCCCATTTCGCCCATTCTAATTAGGATCTTCTGTGTGTACCCTGGTCAGTGCAGTCTAGTGGTAGCCAGGCAGGGTCTCCGGTTAGAGGAGTTGATTTGTTCTGTAGCCAATCTGAAGAAATTGCTCCTAGTTTTAAATGGACTTTGCAGATACAGCAACTCATGCTAATTCTCTATCTACTGTTAATTACTATTGACTTTTCTTATTTGATTCCACTGGCCATACATTGTGGATGAGATTTTAACTGAAGTAGTGCCATGGCAGTCACTCTGTTCTCAAAACTCAGGTAGAAATGCTGCTTTTGTTGTTCAGTACTGTGTTGGCTGTATGTTGATAAATGTACTCTGTAGTAGTGATTTATTTTGCTTTTCTAAGGTTACAGTGTTCTTGTTAAGTACTGTCAAGTCTGTTCTGACCCATAGCGACCCTGAACATGGTTTTCCGAGGCTTTAAATCTTTACGGGAACAGAAAGCCTCGTATTTCTCTCACGGAGCAGCTGGTAGTTTCGAACTGCTAACCGTGCGGTTCGCAGCCTGATTCGTAACCACTACACTACCAGAGCCACAGAGTTTGGTTTAAAGTTTTATCAGTGGAAATATTAGTATGTTTTTTTTCTTTAACTGATGGATACAATAAATAGTATCAAGAGAGTTCAAAATGTTTCCTCATTGTAACTGTATGTATGTATTTCTTTGACACAATGCATTTAATATACCTTGAGTCTGCTTTTTCATTTAAATATATGATTTTTGGCAGCTATTTCCTATTTGTAACTATTTTGTACCAAGACTTAGTGAGATAAGTCCCTAGTTTTTAATCATTCTCAGTTTTTTAATCATCAAGTTTATTTGCTACTGTGTGAAATCCATTCAGAAACTCTTAGCTTTTTCTGTGTATTTATATAGTACAAAGCGTCCTAGTGTGGGTTAATGCACTGGACTGCAAAGACACTTTGAACCCCAAGGTTGGCAGTTCAACTCACCAGCTGCTCCTCAGAAACTATATACAAGGTCTTTGTGGGTTGGAATCGACTGGACGGCGTTTCACAACACTATATAGTATAACACAAGTGCTTGCTGCCTCTGAAAGGATTGTTGTTGTGTGCTGTCATGTCACTTCTGACACATGGTGACCCTGATGATATTTTCTGAGACTGTAATCTCTATAGGATTAGAAAGCTTCATCTTTCTCCCTTGGTGGCTGCTGGTGGATTCAGACTACTAGCCATGTGGTTCACAGCCCAACACATAACTTGGTATAGTACCAGGGTTTCTTTCTGAAAGGGTTAGATGAGCTTAATAAAGAAACTGCTAGGACTTGGTATATTTGGGTAAAAGTAGTCTTAAATGATCATTTCAGTTCCTTTCTTGGTCAGTTTACAGTTATTCACTGTGTTTTTCCTAGTTGTATATACTTTTTTCCCTTTAAATATTACTAATTTTGGTATTCATGTATTAATTTTCTCTTTTGTAAAAATTATACTTGTTTGAGTTTTTGCTTCTGTGTGTGTATACATATATAAAAGATGATGTGTTTCTTGACTAATATATTCTGGTGTGGTGCTGTAGGATCAGCACTGGACTATTAGCCACAAGGATGGCTGTTCAGAACCACCAGCTGCTCCTTAGGAACCCTGTGCAGCATTGGACTTGTCAAAGGCGCTTACCACCATCATCAGTTAATGTAATCCGTGTAATCACATTGAGGCCAGCACTGCCCATTTTCCAGTTTCCCCTTACATTTCTTGTTTGTTTTTTTTAATCTTTAAAAATGGATTATTCATCCAGT